GTGTACTCACACCCCCACACTCATTCAGATTAGGACAATGCAGATATGCCAATTCACCACATGTGCACATATCTTTGGGATGTGGAAGGAAATGAAGTACCTGGAGAAAACCCATGCAGACACGGGGAGACATACAAACTCCACACAGGCGGTGGCCCCAGGCAGGAATCCAATATTTTTTTTCTCATCGACATTATAATTAAACAACATTAAAAGAAATGACATTCAAAGAACTGCTGTGATACCACCCTCTTAGAGGATTTTTTTGACCTTCTAAACAAACAAACAAAAAAAGTATTTGTCAATTGACTGATGAACTAAAAGAAAGCATTTAAGTAGTATAAGTAGAACTGAATTTACCTTTGATGTCTAAATTGTCTTCATGTTGACACTAAGAAATGAAGACTGTATTTATTTTACTTTAAAAGGCATTTTCCCTGGAAATGGATTTGTGAAAGAGAATGAGATCTGGAGTGACTAAAAGGGTTGGTCTAAATGTCTCTATAGGCAGTGCCTCTCAGCCATTTTCACAGCATTCCTTATTTCGCCTGTTGCTACTAATTTCCCTTTTCTTGAGCTTGTTTCCTTCCTATCCTTAATGAAATCAGAAAAAAAAAATAATGCAAAAAGGAGAGGAGCAAGATAGAAGAGGATTAACACCTGCGATGAAAGAAATGTACAGAATTTGTAAGACAATCAGAAAAAATATGTGAAATTATATTTTGGGTGTTTATTACCTAGATGTGTGGTCAAAATAAGAATGAATGCAATGGGTAGAATACTCCATATGATTTGTACAGTAAACAATCCTCGTGTATCTCAAGATTGCCACTGATAATGCTCACGACCGCCAGTTCTACTCACTCCTGATCATCACTCGTTGCCCACATCCTCTTCATCAAGGTTCAATACAAACATGGAAATGTTAAATAAATCTTTATGTTCCGGTCAACGATTTCATTCTGTCAAACCCTCTTAAAACTTATCTCCAACGATTTCATTCTGTCAAACCCTCTTAAAACTTATCTCCAACGATTTCATTCTGTCAAACCCTCTTAAAACTTATCTCCAAGCACTTTTTTTATTACTGAGGTACTAGGGGCATTAACGGATTTTGTTTTCCCTTTACGTATCATTAAATTCTAATATTTTAGCCCAATTGCATATTATTTGCAGAGATTAATTTTGATTAAGTCATCCAAAAAGAATAGGGTCTTTGGGTCTTGCTCCTAACAGACATCTACTACTTCTGAATTTCCTCTTTATGGAAAATTGTTTCCCACTGTTTCTTTTTATATATTGTATCTCACCATTAGCCTCCAAGCATTACCCTTCTGTCCTTGATAGTACACTTATTTGGCATCAGAGACTTCTGTTATTCTTTCTTCACTGCTATCTGGTAAACATTTATTGCTTGAACCTTTCTAGAGATACTAAGGAAGAGGTGCCCAAGCAATAGATCAGACTTCTGAAGAGCAGCTCTATGTGAACTGCAGTTCCCAGAAAAGAAACTGACTCATCATAGCCTATCCTGACTCATTGTAGCCTATCCTGACTCATCGTAGCCTACGACTCAACTGTTAGCAGCAGAGCCTTCAGTCTTTTCTCCTGCCAAGAATGGGTGATCTCCATGTTCCTGAAAAAGTTTCACTGGAAAATGACTGTTCTTGTTGATACAAAGCAACCAATACTGTTTTCTATTGGATAAATTTTGTTCATTAATAAAGGAAAGGAAAAGTTTGAATTGATAGAGCTTGAGCACCTTGATAGACTGAAACATACTTTTTAGGTTTGGGCTATTTAGTTCCAAATAGCCAAATTAAAAATAAAAAATCAAACCCAATGTGATTTAGTTTATTTGTTCAAGGCATGGCATCCATTATTTAATTGATAATGAAGATAATTCAGACTTTTGTAGCAGAAACTGTTGGCTGCCTACCCAAGAACCCAATTCCTGTTTCTCTGTGCTAATAGAAATCTTATTTTATTGGAGAGTCTATTCTTCTCCCAGGTGATTCTGGGTCAGTTTTTAATAGACTCATTTTATGAAAACTAAGAGAAGCTTTTCAGTAATCATGGAAATTCCTCCTCCTTAATCCCTTTAAAGAAGATCTATTCAGAGAAAACAGAAATAATTATGTTAAAATGTATTAAACCGGGAACCAAAAACTCTGCTTAATTAGTACTGTCTACACATATCCAAAGCAAACTCTGGGTTACAAATGAAGATTTTACTTGAAAGATGGCTGTTTTATATTTATAGTTTCATTTTTACCTAAAATATTTAGAAAATATCTTACCTAATTATATTCTAACTGCCTCTGGTATAGATTTAAATATGAAAATATTCAATAATCTATTTCATTCTAAATGAAAAATTACCCATAATTTTACAGACAGATTAACATAATTATATGTACTAGATGGGAAAAATCCATTGTTTTATGAAGTTTTATGACTTTATTAAATGACAATCTCACCTCATAAAAAACTTGCTGCATTTTAAAGGCATGTTTTCCTTCCCTTTGTAGAACCAAAATGATAGACACCTGTGCTATAAAACCCTGATTAAGGATACATTTATTGTAACTGACTTGTATTTGAAGAAGATTTGGAAATACTCATATACCATTCTAAGTTTTGGGATGCAACCAGTGTGGTCTGAAGATACTGAAGGCTCAAAGAGGAGGCACTTATGGAACAACTTGAGAAACTCAAGTGCAATACATCATTGCAGCTTAGATGACATTCATCTCAGAGTTCTCAGGAGAAGCAAAGTGTGCAACAGCAGAGTAGGCAGATGAGGACATGTAAATATGACAGGAGTAGTATACAGAGAATACAGGCTAGCTTCACACTGCCTTAAAGCAGAGATGCCATCATTTTGACCATCCGTCCCTCAGGTTTTGTACTTTGGTTGTAGGGCTTACAATTTCAATTGTTCTCAAAAATAAAATCTTTTACTTACCCTTAAGTTGTTTGTATTCATTTCTCCATACATGACAACGAAAGGGATTCACGTTTCAGGACTCACACACGGAATTTAAAAGTAGGAACAGACACAAGCCCAAACTTTGGAATAACCACAAACGCCACTTTCTTTCTGCCTTAAAGCGCTGCCCAAGAGACCTTTTTATTCACTTTGCTGAGTTCCAGCTGGTACCACTCTGCTGACTTCTAGTGCCCAGAAACACCTGTGGGGATTTATAGACAGAATTCTGGGGAAAGAGGTTGTGGATAAACATGTAGAAGCAGCTAGAGCACAGAAGCTTATTACTGGAATAGCCAGACTACTCTGGAGAGAATTTCGTCAATGATGGAATTTTTCTCAGGAGAGGTCTGATCTGGCAATCTTTCATCAAAGTGCTTTCCCCAGAAGTCACAGGTGATCCTCTGGTGATAAACTTGTTTCTCATCTGGGGAGAAAGAGAGGTAAGGAAGATATTGGAAAACTCTAAATTCAATGGTTGTAATCCAGATCTCACTTAGCGGTGCCACAACCATATTTTCTAGTTTTTCTAGCTGACTATTTAGAGTGCTACACATGCTTCATGCTAATTCCTGCTTCTGTAGTTCTGTCCACAATGGCCTACTCATTTGTGCTGGCCTAGGAGACAACGTTCTCTTTTTAAGAGAGATCTTCACCTTCACACTTTGTCTTTTCCTTCTCTGCTCAACACAAATATATATTTTTAAGGCAACTTGACTGTTTCCCTCAGATTTCCAGAGAACAGTTTGTCATTTGCCAGGCATTAGCAAGCCTAAATTAAAAGGCAGTTTTGAAGATGAAAATGCCCACATTCTCTTCACATTAACTTAGAGAGTTAACAACCACTGGAATATGTAGAACTCCTTGAGAGAAGTTTGTGACTCACCAAATTATTCCTTCCCATTTAAAAAAATAAAAGATTGCGTTTTTAATTACTCTGAGAAAGCATAGCCAAATGTTAACTTCAAATGTAATTTAATGTAGACAATTTGATATGAAGTGTTGTGGGCCGCAATAGAAATGAGATCAAATAGAGAATGATTTATCTTTAATTGTAAATGTATCACAAATTATCAGTATGCTTGGATTATTGACTATTTGTGCCTCTGTGCCACTATAGATTAAAAAAAATGTATATTTATTTTTAGCAATTGGTACTATAATGATTGCAGACAGTTGAAAAACATACACATATCAAAAACTTAACTACTAAACATTTTTTCCACAATTTTCTGATCACAATTGTACTCTGATGCCAAATCAAGCCAAAAGTAACAATATGGAAACAATATAGAAAGTAACAATTATGGTGTTACTTTATTATTGCAAAAATTTATAATTAGCATAGAAAAAATTAAATTCATAAATAAAATATTGAAATATATATTGATTTTTCAGCCAATGCAGTTGCTTTATAGCTCTATGAGTTTGAAATAAAAACATCAAGTTAAAAAAAGTAAAGTTTAACAATATTCAAATTTTGAAAATCTAAAGATAGCACTTCCAATTTTTAAGATTAATCATCTGACCAAATATATTTAGGAACTTAAAGTCAATGCTAATAATTTAGTTCATGATTTGAAAATGGATATACAAATAACAAATATACTGGTTATTTTGATTAGCCTTATTTTTTTGGCAAGTTAATGGGAACTTAAAATTGATCAGAAAATAACTAGCTAACTATATCATATGCACTAATTACTATTTTATGGATTCAAATTTATCATGAAGTAAATCATACAGACTGTAACTTAGGATAACACTTTTTGCCTTCAAAGACAATTCTGTAATTCTGTACAATGTCATAAAATATACTGGTGTATATATATAGTTGGATATTAAGAAAAAAATCAACATCTGCCATGTTATACTTTATATTACTATACTTAATAATCCAGTGTCATTAAATCCATCTTAATATTTTTGTTATTGATGATGAATAGGATATTCTGTTGACGGGCTACAAAGACTTGCTTGAAAAGAAGTGATTATTGATGATCTATGACTCTTAATGAATCATGAGTCCTCCAGGTATTTGGATTGATGAAGGTTCTCTGGTTTGACTTGATATTCTGAAGGTTCTATATAAAAGTAAAAATGAAAGTTAACAATATGCCATTTTAAGGATTTTACAAATGTACATGTGCTTCTATTTTTGGATGAATTCTGTGACTGGAGGGAGAAAATAACCAAGTTTCTGAAAGCAAACTCCTAGTAGTAGAATATTCTATGGTCTTTCTAAGAAATATCATGCATTTAACTTCCAAGCAATCATTCCAAAGCAAAAAAGTCTCTTTTTTTTTTTTTAAATATTTGTATTTTAAATTATTGGTTTCTCTGCAAATTTCTTTGAAGATTTAGGGCTGCTTTAATTTTGCATACCATAAAATAAATGCAAAAAGCTTAATCTTTACTGCAGGAAGGATTCACATGGATTAGACCTGACCACCAGGTGAGTGGCATCCAGCCTTCATTCACTGAGAAGGCATTATCTACCTCCAGATGTGGTGTAACACAGGTTTTGTTAATGATGCTTTTGTCAAAACAAAAACATCATTAAAACATCAATGTTTTTTCTTTCCGTCATGGCTTTTACTTTAGTCATTTACTTAACCCTGGGTTTGGATCTTTCAAATTACATGTAGGGATCAATTTTTAAATTGTAAGGAAAATAATTTGCAACTAAATGTAATATATGTAGCAGTATGCATTATTTGCTTTAAAATACATATTAGAATACCCTCAAGGTTTTTGTCTTTAACACTCCCATTGTCATCAGTAAAGGGATATCCCTTTCTATGCAGGCAAGAAAGGAGTAAAAGTTACAACTGATACATGGGGAATTTTAAATTGCCCTCACCTTATTTATCTATGGCACACAGTAATCTGTACAAACTCATGAGCCTATGTGGCAGATGTGAACTTCATACATTATATACGTGGTCAAGTAATAAAGATCTAAAACCATTAAAATAAGATTTTTGCTACATTGGAAAACCATTTGTGCTTCTCTGAAACAATATGTCTGTGAAAAAATATCTAGGCAGGCTCAGTAACTGAATAGTTCTCTCAAATATTTTAAAATAAATAAAGAAAAATTGAATAAATTCCAAATGCTATCCTCCCCCCTCCTCCCTCCCTTGAAACTGACTAATTATTTGGACTTTAAACCTATTTTGGAAACCAAGGAATATCTTCTCATACAAATACAATTTTAAGGCTTTGGTACTGGTATTAGTAAGCAACTAATTAAATGCTTAAGAGAATTTGGATGCAAAAAGTGGATATGTTTAGCTGGCATTGCATATGAGAATAAATATGCTTGAATGTCCGTAGGCAGAACATCCACTCATCATGTGCCCAACCCCTTGGTATTGCCATATATCTCCCCACTTCAGTCTTCCACTTTATCTTCCTGCTTGTCAAGGCCTTTAAGACTGAAGTTTCTGGAGGAGCATTATATGTAAATGCTTTATCTAATTTCCTGTGTCTCCTCCTCTGTGTATCATGAGAAGAAAAATGCCCATTGCCTCTTCTCCTCTCTAGGGCTAATCTTACTGATAAATGTACTTCATGTGTGTGTTTGTATAATTTATAGAATATAGATGTATATGCACACATTTATATATTTTTATTAATATTTAAAATACTCAAATTATTTACAAATATATACATAGGTATAATGAATTAGCAAATGAACATCATTGATATTTAAATGTCATTATTTTTTTACTTGAAGCAAGCAACTGCACACCAATTTGTATCTATTTGTAAATGGTAAATAAGTGGAAAAATTTTAAACCCTTGACATTTAGAAATCTAGAGATTGATGTGTCTCTAATCTTAAATCTCAAATGCCCACTGGAGCATTACTGCATTAGAGCAATGAAGGCAGCCAAAGAAAAAGAA